AAAACGACTGTCTTCCAGTGGTCTCCGACAGTAGAACCTGAACCCTTCAGCCGATGTTCTCCAAAATTGATATAACCCGATCGTTCAAAACGAACTCGAGGTTTTGGGAATTTCAAGGGATATTTTGATTTTTTGAACGTACTTTACATAAAGTATCGAAAACATTTTCAAAATTTTATCAAAATTAGTTAATTTTTTTATTAAAATTTCCTCCCGAGTAGGACGCTTAAAAGAATGGAGCAGGTCTGATGTTTGTTGAAATCTTTGAGTTTTGGACAGACAGACTGACAATTGATTTTTTGGAATCAATGGCCTACAAAAATGAATTCTGGCTGATCTACGCGTTAGAGTATTTTTTTCTGTATTTAGAAACTGTATTTATCCACTTTTTTAATATCATGGTCCGATAATAAGTTGGTTTTTTTCGCCAAAAATTCGCCTTTCCCTGGCGCACGATTGCATTCCTTTCTCTTAAGAAAAATCTACATAATGGCGAAGTAAAAATACGTCGGTAGTCCCATTTTTGGCAAAACTCCGTATTTGCGAAATTATACAAAAATGTGGTGGACAAATTTTGGATTGAGACAATTACACATTTAAGCGTCGGTCTAAGATGTACTTTGCGGTTATTCTGTGCCGGTGCAGTGCGACAAATGATCTAGATTCATTGACCTCCCTGTGGATGACGAGATTCGGCGCCGACCTACCGTGGACTAGCGGGGTTTTCCCCAACCAAGTACCTCCCACCAGAGGGGCACCGGCCTAAGCTCTAAGCTCCTGACTGGGCTCCCTGTGTGTTAGTGTAGTGCATGTGTGTGTGTAAGGGGTGCGGTTAAGACAAAGAAGAGGAAGCAAAGATCGCGCGCGGTCCGTTTGTTAGGCATTCGCCTGTTGATCGGAGACACCACGGAAAACTACCGATCAGAGCAGGGGCCCGCTAAAAGTCTCCTCCAGACAGCGAAAGAAAACCACATAACTATGGCCAGTGTCGAAAAACCTGCCATCGTTGAGACTCGAACCCAGGACGTCCCGTTCAGAGGCATTACAGTGGAATCAGCTGATGCCCTGAGCCACCTCTCCAGTTCTGGAAGTTAGAAAGAATGTGAGAAAGTATGTTGTGTTGTAGCAAATAGTGCTAAGGTTCAACATCCGTTGTTACGTATGAGGAAAAAAACTTAAACAAACTAGTGCAACAGAATGGCACCGACTTTCTCGTCGTATTCAATTTCCTTCATGAAGGCTAGCTTTATGGTCTTTCCCCATCCTATCATCTATCGCCTCCCTTATGCTTTATGTAAAAACAAGAAGGGTTTGTCGATTTTATTTCCATAACAAATACTTTCCGTATAAAACAAACATGTCAGCAAAAAGTTTTAAATCACGCGGGTTAGACTTTTCAATAATTTAAGTATAAATTGTTTGAACATTGATATTTTTTCCAATCACATTTTGGCGCGAATTTCAATTTTTTAAACTGTTAAAATTGGTTTTAATAATTTTTCACTATAGTCCACATTGTTAAAAAATCTGAACAAAAAAAGTTGCTGGAGAATGGTATGAGACACATAATAGGGGGAAACTGAGACAGTACTCCAACGTTAACGTCAAAAATCAATTCTTTCCTATTTGAATTTAGCGTTAAAATCGGTTGACAAAAATACCTTCACGTTCAACTATATTTCTCCGTCTTTCGAATTTTTGGCTTTAGCCAAGGCCTAAAAAGCAATAGTTTTTCCGTGCACTCTGGTGCCTTAACAGTTTTTTAGAGCATTTAAGTTAAAATTAGAATTTTGTGGAAATTTTATTGAATTTAATTTTTTACACATCAATTGTTTCGATAAAACGTATAACTTTGAAGATAGATTCAACGCTGCAGATATAAGCAGATGAACTTTAATCGAAAATGCCACAGCTTAGACCCACGAGATTGATTTTTGTTTAGGCTATAGATTCAGTCTACGAATTATGAAACGTTGCTCAATGAAATTTTTGATATTATCTCTCGTAATACTACGTATAAGAAAGAAGAGTGGTTGATCTTATCCCGTGTGGTATAATATTCTAAAAAAATGGGGTGATGGTAAAGTACTGTGTATTGGCCATGGATATGTTGGAAGCGCAATATTTATATTTGGAAATCGTAAATATATTATCTTTTCGTTACACTATCCCGAATTGTAGAAACCGGCGTCACGCAAATGACCCAATTCCAGCAGCTTAGTCCAATACTAGCTGCGGGAGCTCTTCTCACATACTCCCGAGCCGTGATGTATGAATTATACTATATATATATATATATTCTGGTGGAGAATTTTCCAGAGGAGGTGGGAAAGCACTTTACAAAGTAAATTGTCGAATCCTTGTTCACTGCGGTGTTTCCTGCAGGATTTCGCAATTTACTGGAAATTTTTATTCGAGAGGAATCGCATACGCAGAGGGGAGACATTGGTTGGGGTGAGCTCCGCACGCTGGCGATCGCAGGCAGATCGCCAGTTATCCTACAATTTGCCGAAGAAGCCTCCAAACGACCCTCTGCTGAACGTCACGGACGTGCCGCAAGCGCCGCTGCACCCTGCTGTTGTGGGGGGCGCGCACCCGATTGGCAATTCCAGCGAAGGTCGCCAACCGCGCCAACCCGGCTTCAGAACATCTGCCACGAAGGGCTCTCAGGCATTGTAACTGGGGGCAATAAACCTTTTTTGCAGTATTGTACAAAGCGGTCGCCGCGCCAAGGCACAGAAAGGTCCTCAGGGACAACTCCTGTAAATTCTAACTAATAAAATAATTTTGTACTCTTCTCTGTTGTTAAGCTTTCCTTTTTAATTCTTAATCTTTATTTTTTCTTTTTTATTCAATCTTTTCTTTCTTTATTTTTTAATGTAGACTTCCTGGTACAGTCTGTCCAGGAAAATAAACGGTTGTCCTTTTTTACCAGTAATCAAATTTGTTTATTTTGAATGCCCATCGCATGCTGTAGCTACATTGCTTCCCATCACTGGAATCTTAAGTTAAAGGAAATTGTTACAATTGG